TAGTAAATATTTGAACAAAAATAAATCTAAACATGCATCAAATAATAGGATTTATTTCAATGTTTTTCTGAGAAATATTAATTGTGTAACTTAGTATTCGTTTAATAATATCAATATAGATTGGATTTTGTTGTCAAGCTAAAGATTCAATAAGTTGTAAAATTATATGTGAATAAGTGTTTAGAAATATGGTCATTATAAAATTACTGTATTGTTAATTATAAATAAATGACATAAGTTCACACCAAATAACTATTTAGTATAAGTTGATAATGTATTATTTACATGTTGTGTATTAATTTTACACACCCTATAATGTACAGTAAGTACATTATTGTACATGATATTTTATAAATAGTTATTAGTTTTGATTAAATTACTTTAAAATATAATTTTTATGAATCAAATGTAAACAACATTTACGCATGAAAATAAATATTGGTTTTTGTATCACATAATTGATACAAAAGTCTTGTTTTTGTATGGGTTACTCTAAGACTAAATTTACATATTTCACGTATAATATGATAAATAATATTTTAAATGTAATTATTTACGTTTAAGAAAAAAATTGTTTATAAAATAAATATATAAATTTATGAATACACTGAATACACATAAAAATAATTCATGAAAACTTGAATAATATTATGCAATTATGGTGCTTCAATAATTAATTACACACGACAAGAATACATTGAATTCTATATAATGTGTTGCTTTTTGAGGATTAATCCGTGTCATATTATATTAAAAAATAATAACATGTTTAACTTCAATTAAACGAAATAAAAACTACGAGTATAGTAAAGATTAAGCCTTAGGGTTTTACAGTAGTCGTCCTGAAGCAATACCTCACGATAATTCGATAGGCTTCCAACACCATGTCGGCCGTGGAATAAAAAGAAAAAAAAAACGGTTTTACAGTAGACCCATTATTTTTAATAAATCAAATTTCTATTATTGTTTATCGGTATCCCAGTTGTTGAATACTTACAATTATTAGTAATTAATATTTTTGATAAAAATAACAATAATATTATACAAAGCCAACAAAAGATTGCAAATTTTGATATTTGGCAAAAAGTCATTCTTAAAAAATAGACGATAAACATTTATGAGGGAAGTCCTTCGCATTAGTTAAAATTTTAATAAAATGAGTGTTGCCACATAATAGACGTTAAGAATAAATGGAAATCAATAGATAAGGAGGTATGAAAAAAAAATAAAATTTGTTGTTTTTGCCGCTCAGGTTGTAAAATATACTAATAAATACCTGGTGAAGAGACGTGGAACACACAAACTCCAAAAAAGAAACGACACTCGAATGTGCCAAGTACGGTGATAAATCTCACGACAACTTAGTTTATTACTACTTATTGTTGGTGCTATATTTTCTCCTGATCATCTCAATCACACAATCCCCACTCGTCTAGACGGCTATGGTCTTAATGATGTAGTATATCCCTACTATACAAATAATTGATTTGTGGATACTGTTTAGGTATTTACCTGTGCCGTTACAATACCCTACATTTACTGTGCGCTCCTCAAATCGCATTATCTGTTTAAATAAAAATCGTGCCACTTTCAGCGTCTCGTTTAAGTTGCTATCTAGACACACTAAGCACACACTCGGTAGCTAATCGGATTAATTAGCTGCGGATCGGGTAAATTAGTTAAGCATTTGAAACAGCGGTGTGCCATTGTTACACAGTTCTTTTAATTTGTACGATTACATTAAATTTGAAATATTTAATTATACTTGAACGGGCCAAAGAATAAAGAAAATGTCATCCATATTTAATGTATTTTGTACGAACAACGCAATTTGTAAATTGACGCTTACCAACGATTATGATAATAAATCAAAAAAATTCTATTTTTAGACGACGAGGTATGTGAATTAAAATCTTACTACTTTTAAAATTACATAAAAAATGTTAGCTTGAATTAGACTTCTTGAAAATATTAACGCGCGCGTTTAAAATATTGAACTTTTTTTTACGATATCTTTAGTAGTCAGATAAGTACCTTATTTGTTGTGTATATAATAATCATTTCTATAAAAACTATTAAAAATAGATCGCGGAATATATTTAATTACTTAGGTATTGATTACAAACTTTCGTGAAAGTTACCCTCCACCTCTTGCGAACGCCAGTAGTTAATAATTATATGGTATGTTAATAATTTGAGACGCATAAAGTTATACTATTTCAAATTAAGTTATAATCTCAAGTCTTATATTTTCTGCTTTAAGTCTTTATAATGAAATACGAAAACAAATTAATTTCATTGATATCTTCGAATTATTCTATTCACATCATGTTTACTACTCAAACAAGACATTGTTTTTGACAAATATTTATTAATCAATACTATTTTTAAAGTATAATTATTTATTGAGGGGCATGGTGTGGCGCGGTGGTCACACTAGTTGTTGACAAAACTCTAATGTTAAGCCGCGCCTACCGCCGTGGGTGAACGGATGGGTGACCATGCGTGCGCTTCTACGGTAGCTAAAAAGCACCATAATCCTAGTGCAAAAGGCAACGGCAAACCACTGCACTTAATTTCCCCAGTATATACCATTGGTAAAACGACAAGGCAAGACCTTTGGTAGAAAAAAAAAATTATTTATTAATAAAATTTCAAAACTTAGACCTTTTTTGAGTTTGATTATTAAATGTAGCAACATTTTTTTTATTAATATGAAATATTAAAATATTATAAAACATTTGTCTTCATTAACGACTTTTTTATATTTACTTCCACTTTATTAAGCATTGTTAAATATATATTGTACAATAGTAATACCATATATCGTTGCGATTTTATATAATTTTTAAATTCAATTTTATTTCAGTCGCTATACAGTTTTTTATTAACAAACTTTAACTATAAATCACAATGAAATTTACCTAATATTTTTCAAATGATGCTGATATGCAATTATGCTGTCTTTAAATTATTCCGATTTTCATGTAATAAAATTATTAATTAGTAAATCTAAGTTACATCTTTAATTCTAATTCTTTTTTAGACTTCGTTTATGTAATTTTTAGCAATTAATTTTATTCGATTACTTTTTACGTAAAAACTAATCAAATATGATTATTTTTTCGTTAAAATTCAATATCTATAAACCACTAATACAGCGATGTATTGCAGGGCCACTTTATAGAGAGGAGGGTTTTCATCTCTTATTTGGTTTCTGAGAGGCTGTGTTTAGTGACCAAATTGATAACAAATAAAACAAATGTTAAAACAAAAAGATAATAAATAACAAAGTAAAATTTTTTTTAAGAATTTTGGTGAAATTGAACTATACAAAATTAATAAAATGCACATACAATTAATAAGTTATACATAACCTATTAATATAACGAATTGTCGTTATCAATAATATTATTATCATGCATAAAGGTATCAACAAATCATTTAATTTAATTTAATAATGATAATATTTATTTTATTATTCATAAAATTATATTTGTTCTAATGTTCCTTATAACAGTAATATTATACTCGAAGTAATCAATGATAGTTTTCCATAATCATAATAACCGAATGGTTTTAATTGATCCGTTCTATAAGATGTAACGTATGAATGTTACAAAAATTGATTGATTAAATAATATTTATACGTAATTATAATTATTTAACGATATTATTTATAATTAAAAATAAACTGTAATGCAGCTCACTGAAAAGTATTGGCATCGTAGGATCTCTCACTTTTAGTGTAATTGGGCTAGTAGAACAGTAAAAAAAAAAAATTATTAAAAGTTTTATTTCTTTTTATGCAATGTGTAAATATTTTATGGTATTAAATAAGCATGTACGATAAAAAAAGCAATTTGAAAGATTCCCGGAGGATATTTTATAGACTATAACAATTACATTATTTAGAAAACCTAATAAAAAAAAACACTTTTTTTTTTTTAAACTATGTTTAAGTTACTTGATAAAAATAAAAAACGTATAGTGTAATTATTAGAATAGAATTCTTTAATAGGTACTCTGAGAAAATTTAGATAGGGGTGATTAAGAGTTTTTGGAAAGTTGGGAGATGATATTTTCAAAAGGAAATCAAAGAGGCCATAGATGTTATTCCTCCATTTAGTAAAGAATAGACTAACACTATTAAATTTGGAATATAATTTAAGCGTTTCGAAAGAAATCGTTAGAAAAAAAAACCCCTACTAAGAGTTCATTTACATTTAAAAAGTTCATTCATTAAATCTTGTCGACAATCCAGCGATGGAAAAAATGTTGAAAAATAACGTCACAGGTCGTTTGTCCGACAACGATAACGTGTCCTAATAATTTTTTGTTGCCAATATTTGTGTCAGCCCAAGTTGTCTAGGGACGACGGCGGCGGCGTCCCGCGTCGCACGAAGGGATTCCTACGCCGCCGCAGCTGAAAGATGACGCAACAATCGTAAGCATTGCGCACGCAGACTGGCTGTTTCAAAACAGTACACACCACCCTCCGTTAAAAAAAAGGTCAAAAAGTTTTGAAATAAAAACATGCCACCAATATATTTCTATGTCTAAATTTTATATTAAACTATTTCAACAACTATTCACTTCACCGTGAGCTCCAATCCCTAAACACGCGTATTGTGCGGTCGTAATACACGTACAGGATTGTTGGTATGTAGAGAGACGTGCTAATCCTAATGAATATCCGCGATTCGATGGAAAAAATAGTAATGAACGTGTAAAAAGTTTGGAGGTGACCTAATAAAAAATCTTTTTTATCATGGGATGCATATAAAATATGACAGTGGCGCCACTGCCAAGAGCTACCTCAGAATCGAGGCACAAGTAGACACCGTTTTATCCAAACACATTTTTCTACAACAACAACAACAACAACGTAAAAAACGTAATCGTTTCGTCGGTGATTATTGATCCCCCACTGTTGTGCCCCGTGGTCGCCCTTGATAACTACGGTTTGTATAGTAATTGTTCGTCTCAGTGATACTTACCAGCATTTTAAAAAAAACGTATTAAACAATTTCCTTAGTAGGCAGCGTGGCGAAGTCGAATACTCCTTTTTATGTTTTATTGAAACAAAGTTGGAAAACAAAAAAAACCATAACAATATACACGTGTGTCGCGTGTATCCAGTGATAAGACAGCGACGTGTGGTGCGCGCAATGAAACGTAACGAAAACTGCCGTAATGATGTTGATGTGGTGTCGCACAAGCGGTTTGTGTGTGTCTTTTTCGGTCTGTGGCTCGCGCGCGTGTGCGACAATCAGAGTATAGGTACTCGGACGGGGTGGGCGACTCCTCTACCGCCTCTTCCAGAACAACAATCATATCTCTTTCGTACAATCGTATTTTATTGTTATTTAATTATTAAGCAGACGTTAGCCGTGTCAAAGAAGACGCCGCAGCTGCAACACGATTCCGCGCCGAGTGGTTATTTTATTGTTTTTTGCTATTTCCCCTCCGTCGTTTTATTTTCGCCCGTTGTCTAGAGACACTTCATTCACCGGACCGGATACCACGCGGAGTTGGACAGCAGCGCTAATCCGGCGCCTAGCGGTTGAACTGTCGACTGTGACTATTGGAAAGCCCTTACCTACCTCATGATAAATATTAACCGCTGCCATGAACTATTGTCGATACAAATAGTTCCATACTGAGCAACTTGGAGGATTTCCATAGAGTTATTAGACGGATGTAGACTAATAGAATATCATTAGAGTTCGGATTTTTCTAATTTTCTAAACAAATTCAAATGTTAAGTGAAAAAACAATGTAAACGGGCATTTTATAATTTTAAGCGATTTCAAATAGTAACCCTGCCGTTTGTAATTAAAATTAAATCTCTTGTCGACTAGCATATTGACAGTTAACAAATTAAGCGAGTTTTCCAATCACAAAAAATATTGTACCCTTAACACTATTGTTTAAGAATTTTCGGACGATGCTTTCAAATAATCTCTCGTTACATTGATTCAACAATTTATTTTAAAGCGTAAGAAATAAGTGTGACTTGTTGGGGCTCAAGACATAAAAAAATTCAGAAAAGGGTACAAATTTTTACAAAAAAATATAACTGAATATTAGAGACTTGGTTCAATATCGGACTTAAGTCTTCAAAAAAAATTGTATAGTTACTTCATAATTATTTATTGATTTAACTCTACGATTATTATATAAAAATAAAATTATTTTACTACATTTCTCCGTAAAAATAAATTGTAATTAAGGCATAACTATGAATATTGTTTAAAATATTATTATCTTGGTATTTTTATTGCTTTCAAATATTGAACTTCTTGAATCTACTAAAAATTCTTAAAGTCTATTTAAATTTTAAGCATCTTTGCTAATGAATAACTGTTAATCACTTCCATTGTCAACCTAATCTAATTATTTAAATAACTACTTTACTGTGATATACTATTAATATATATATAACCACGGCCAATAGCCTTTGCTGCCGCGGCCTTAAAAAAAAAAATTTAAGTATCTCAACAAAAAGCCGAAAAATTAAATCTCAAAAAATTTTCTGTAAGACTAAATGTTTGTTGTTTTGGGAGGTATAGACCTTGTATACTCTGTAAGTTTTAATGTAAATTTTTTCACAGCTACTGGATTAAAATTTAAAAACTAGTTAACGTCGAGGCTTCTCCATTTAATATCTGATTTATCTACTCTACATTAATTTTTTTTTACTTTTTTATGAATTATATATTAATTAATTAATCTATTTAAAAGCCTAAGAGTTAGGGTGCTTTAAATTATAATAAAACTTTAACAACTACGATAGCTATAATTTGTTATTACAACTTATATACATAAAATTATCACTAAATTTCTTAAAATTAAATTTTTGATTTTAAAAATATGAAACTATGATAGCACTTGTGAGTGGGCGTAGGTGGAGAAGAACCAAGGGTTTATCCCCAGTTTATAATTTAGTTCCTTCGGAAATTTAACTAAATTATATACATTGTTGTTTAAAATTATTTTTCAGAGGGGAAATAATTTAATCTAGTCTCTCCAAAAAAATTGACTATCTTATGCTTATGCACTTGAGGGGAAAAATAAAAATAAAATATTACTTAAACAATCCTTATTTTGGGGTATTTAGTAGAATTAACAATTAAGTGGCGGTTAATGGGGCTGCCCCTTTTGAAATTCAAGTGATGGCCATAGTTAGTTACGACTAAATTTTGTACTTTAAAATTACTACTAAGCAAAAACAAATTTTATAAAAACATAAAACTTTTTATTAGTCCCTTCAAATATAGTTTTCTGGCTACGAAACTGATTTACCCACTGATTATAAATAATTACATTGTTTTTTTCTTGTGTCCAGAAAAAAAGTGTACTGGAAAGCTAATTATTTAATGAATTATTTTTTTAGATTGTTTTTATTTATAATTTTAATAATTTTTAGACGGCCAACATTTTTCTCTTAACTACTCAAAAATGACGATGGATCCTCTGCGCTACATCCAGCGTCTTATGTATAAAAATCTGTACACATATAATATAAATCATAAATGATATGTAAAAGAAATTACAATTAAATAGAAGAAAAAAGTGTTTTAAAAGGATTTTAATATTTATTGTTAAATTTGAGTAATAATATTTGTTAAATAAATTTAAAAAGAAAAAATTACCGCTTCCTCAATTTTTCACCCTAGACAAATGTCCCTTATTCTCCCTCCCTTAATGTGCCTGTGTAAGTACGTCTCAACTTTTAGTGCAGGTTACTGTATTTAACTTATAGAACAAAATACTTACCCGAAAGTTTTTGAATTTTAAATTATTTTTCAGCTTAAAATAAAAATTCTAATATTGATAGAATTGATTTTCAATAATACTATTTTAAAGTTGGAATATTGATTTCAATTGTTTAATACGACACAGAGAACTAGACAGGTTTTTAACGATAATCAATAAAAATATTTCGTTTAAAGCTCAAAAGATACATGCGAATATTTATTGAACAGAACATAACACTAGGTTGGAAAGATCTAACGAAATTCTAGCAAATACATAAGATAAAATATCAAAAAATCAGTTCAACATTTAGCAACGGTTGCAAACATTAGCGTTGCAAATAATCGTGACGTAAACTTTAGGAGTGTATCTAGCCATAAAACACTTAAATGTTAAAAATATCTTTTTTATACACAATAATCTTAAGACGATACTTAAAAGCAAGGTTTGTATTATAGTACCTACAAGAATTTTGTTTTGTGGTCTTTACACAATGGAAATCCGAAAGTTATGGTCTTATTAATTTTTTGATTAATAATAAATATAACGGGAATAAATGTATTTTGAAAAAGATAAAGTCTCTGTGTATACTTAATTAACTTTAACTAGAATATTTGAACCTGAGTTAAATGAAGCGAAAGGAGTTCAATGTCACGATACACAAATTTTATTTTCACTTACTCTCTCATATAAATTATCATTATAAAAAGTACAAGTGAAAAGAGTGGTAGGGTATGTCCAAGCAAAATTCACAATGATAATATTTCAAATTTTAAATGTCATAAATTCATTTTGTAAACGTAGACTGAAAGTACAGTATCATTTAAAAAATCAGTTCGTGATTATTAATAATTACAATATACTGGGTTAAAACTGTTAGTTAAGCTAAAACCGTTACAGAAGTATCACTTAATGAAATTATTTAAAACAATTTTCGTCTAAGGCACATTTAAAATTTTATTTTGGACATCTCCACATTATTAAAGAAAACAATACCCAAGTAGTGACTATTTTGGGATTGTGGAAGTTAGTTATTCGCTTGTAAATATAAAAAAGTAAAGTATAGTAGTTTTTAAGATTCGAATAATTCAAAATTTGTTTAAACTTATTACTGATGAATATAAAAGTAATTTCAAGGGTAGAATTTAAAATGTTAGATAATTTCAAAATATTATTACTCATTGTAAAACCTTAAGCAACAATACTTCGTAATCATTTTCTCCTAAGCTTAGCCTACTTTGCCCGGTCTTTCCCTACCTGAGACTGACCGTGGGTAATCGCCAAAGCTAGTTATATCTAACAATAGAATTTTTCAATTTTAAAAAATGTTTTTTTTTTTACTGTTTACCAATCATTGATGAATTGTTTTTAGTTAAAATGCAAAGGTTTTGCAAGGCTCATATATCATGGTTATTACAATTATTTCATTGTTTTTGCATATAAATATACTTTTAATTATACAGATCAGCAGACAATTTTTTGTCTATGATATTTAGGCGAATTCTGAATGAAATTTTGTGACTCTTTCTAAATCAGACTTCAGTTATATAAAAACATATATAAATATTTTAGCTTCCACTCGAAGCTGAAAAGATATTAATTTTACTATGATGTGTTTTTTGAGTCTGTCGCCACTTTTTTTCAGCGCTTACCAGACCGATTTCTTCTTTCACAAAAATTTCCCTCATTTTAAATATTCACAGAATTATTTTTATTTTTCAATTAATTAAGTGTTCATGATAAATAAATCACCCTGCCGTGTCATCAAATCATAGTGTCCATATATTCATGTTGATTCTATTCTCAAATATCAAATGAACGAGTGATACAAACAATAAATGTTTTATTATGATACTAGTAACATTGATTACAAATTTTCATTTGTTTAGATATGATTGTTAAATAATTTAATAATTACAATATAATTATTATATTGTACTGTAATTGTCGAGGTATTCAAGTAAATGATTTTGCTTTGCTAAAATACAACAGTCAAATAGTGCCAACCATGGAAATGTTTTTTTTAAATTAATAATTTTCTATAAATAGTTTTATTTTTTATAATTTTCAATTATATTTTTACAATTACTACAAGTATTAATTTTTCAATTAATTCTATAAAATTAATTTATTTCAATATATTACTTACAATTATTTATTGTAATAATTTTAAATTAACCATTATACTAAATTATATGCCATCGAAGTTTTCTCATGGTTATGTCTTGAAAGTATATGTAAAAAAAAAATTTTGCCATCTCCAAAATATATATGTTTACAATACATCTATTTTCGTCATGCATGTATTCTTTTTCATAATTCCACGTGAGAAAACCATGTTTTATTTATAAAAAATAAAATTTATTTATGAATTAAATATTTGAAAATTTAAAATACTGCTAATGCTACAAATAAATTATATTTTGCCTATTTAAAACAACGCTATCGATTTTTTCTCTAATATAGTGAAACCCCTTTAATATTACAGATGACTTGAATGACTAAAAGTTGATGTGAAATGTGTCTTAAAATACTAAGTAAATTAACAAATTAACAAAGTCCATCAATACAATTTTACATTTAAACATTATTTAACAATTTTATTTGATATTTAAAAAAAGTGATCTTTCATATTTAAAAAGTGATCTTTAATACTTAAAAAGTAATCTTTAATATTTAAAAAGTTTTTAATAAAATTATTTATTATTTATTTAATTAATTAATTATTATAATTTATTATTTTATAATAAAATATATTTTGCAAGCACTGCGTAGACTTGGAAAGTCCCTTTAAATTTTCTAACATAATATTTCATAAAAATATATAAATATTCTTTTTTGAACAAGAAAGAGGTTAAAATTAGATCTTCCAAAATATTTTTTTGATAATAGTAAATAACTAAAGATAACTTTTGAATAAATTGTAATAACTTGAAAAATTGTAGTTTTCTACAATTTTTTAATATTTTTCGTGCTATTAGTGTAATCTTTACATATATATCACTAATCAAAATACCAATATTTTTAAACAATTTGTTTCAACAAAATATATAAAAATTAAATAATATGATATATTTTTTTAGAGTGTATTAGAGTCTATCCAATTATACAATTTTTTTATTATTATAGACAAAGAGGTTAAAATAATAAGATGATTCCATCATGAGACTATTTTATGTTTTAATTAATTTTTCTTACTGTGCATCTATATCCATTTTGATAATCATTATGCTTGAAACGAAATTACCTCAATAATTCTTGACAATCATTAAGGTAGCGTGGCCGAGCGGTCTAAGGCGCTGGTTTAAGGCACCAGTCTCTTCGGAGGCGTGGGTTCGAATCCCACCGCTGCCAACTTTTTTTTTGTTTAAAATTCATAAATTGCAATTATTACATTAAAAACATAAAAAAAAAAAAAATGTAGAATTGAAAAAGTCATTAGTTACATTTCTTTGTAATTTTAGTTTCTTAACAGTGATGCTATTTTATCAGCAAATTGCTATAAGGAATAGACGTAACTAGAATAAAGTATTTGAAGAGTGCATTTTTTAAATAAAGAAAATTCAATATAATCATAGAGATCATTGGGTTTTCAGTGGAGACTACATTTACAAGATCAGTTCAAACAATTTTTTAAATAGAGTGGGAGTAATATTAAAATGATGTATTAAAAATTTGTTGCTTAGGTAAAAGTTAGTATTTACTATCTTCCTAAATACAGACCAGTTGATAAGATTTATTTTAGCAGTAATGTTTGTATCAATTCAGCAATATGTTAAAATATTAGTACATAAAACATGAACTGGTTCTAATGGTTTTATGAGTCGTATTATACTCATAAATGGCATGTAACTACACTTATGTTTATACTGTAACCACAATGTTGAATTTAAAAAAAAAGTAGTTGGGAATTTTTTGTGGGAGTTTCTTTAACCTTTACGTAATGATTTAGTATTACTCGATCGACAACTACAGTGGTTTTAACCATAAATCATTTAATGTCAACATAAAAAAAAGCCTTTGTAAAGAAACACAATAAAGTGTCTATATATCTTTGTATACAATAATAATCACCAGACGATATGCGTTGGCGTTATACATACAGGTATAGACATTTAAATGTTTCAGTTCATAAAAGAGGCTGATGTTTATGTAAATCATTGGCATCTATACAGTCAAAATAGCATTGCAAATATATTTATCGTATACAGGCTCACTTTCCAGTGTTAAATGAATAAAACAGTCTGCTTTATCTCAACTATAAAACATCAAGTTTCTAAGCATCGACGGATACATCGCACATTCTTGAGTTTATCAATAAAATGAGTGTATAATATAGCTCTTTTAAATATATTATACTATAAAACTATATTAATAGTATCTTTTTTTAAATAAAAAGTCAAAGGTTTCCTTAATATAAAATAAAGTTAAAAATACAAATGTTTTTAAACTTTGATATGTAATTAAGAAAGCATTTGTTTCACCATAATATGTATTAGTTTCGATGCAACGCTAAGAAAGTATTAATTTTACTATGATGTGTTTATTTTTTTTACCTTCCACTACTTTTTCTCAGTTCTCACTAGACCGATTTTTATCAATCATATGTCAAAATATTACAAATCGTATTTAGTTGATGATACTTTAAAAAATTGAAACTTTTGCCTCATTCCCTGTAAATGGCGGATATATATGAAAAAAATTACTATTTTCAAAATAGATAAATTTCGAAATTTTTTAAACTTTTTCTTACTTATAACTGTCATAACTTTTTGAAAAATAAATAAATTATAATAAATATTTTTTTAATCTGACCCTTTACCTGCCTACAAGAAGAAATAACAATTTTTGCACAAAAAATTCATTTTTTCAATATAACTTTTGAAAGTCTTCTGGAAATACGCTGAGTTATAAATATATGTTAAATTAAAACTTTTTTTTTATGTACTATAATTAAAAATAAATTATCTTCTCTATGTATATAGCATCCGAAGTTAAAAAAAAATGTTACTTTGGTTTAAAAATATTACAGTTATTTGTGTCTTTATGATTTTTTATTTAAATTTTTTTTTTTTGTGGTTATTTGTGTTAATATTTTAAGTCAAGTGGTATAGTTATATGAGATGCTTAAGGGTTAAAACCTCATATAAGCCCCTACATTAAAAAAATATATTTTATAAATTATTCAAATTTTAGTTATAAATATTTTGCAGCTTTTAATGTTAATCCAATAATTATACTTAAAAAATGAGGCTTCCTTTACCAAAAAAGAGTTCTAGCTACGAATATTCTAGATTATGATGAATTAAGGTATCGAAGTACAAAATGATTCTATTAATAGAACTACCTCTCATATCTACTTAATTTCTTTTAAAACAATAATTATATTAATAAAATCAATTTTAATGTTTTTTGTTTCATATTATTATTTACAGTAATAAATAATAATAATAAGTATTTCTTGATTCATCAATAATAATACTTTTTAAAATATCTTTTATACCTTATAATGGTATCAACATTTTTTTTCAAATGGTATATTTATCTATTTGTTCACATTAATAGCTTTCACTGGATTGCTTTTTCTTAATAAGACCACAAACCTTATGGGTTAAAATCAATTTATCTACGTATTCAGTTTAATATTAAACTTGAATAAGAATTATAAATTGAAAAAATAATTTATGTAAAGTATTATAACTGCACAAACAATGATTTTTTAAACAAAAACGACATCTTCTTTAAATTTTGATAGTTTTAAAAATAAAATACTTATAAAAGACAAATTTTTATTATTAGTTATAGTATGTAACATAAGCTCAAACTTTACATATATTTGAAATTCTAAGTATTTCCGAAACATTTCCAAAAGTTATGTTAAATAAGTAATCATTTCATACAAAAATTGTTGTTTTTAATTCTCCCTATAGGCAGCTATACGATCAATTTTCAAAAATATATATTCTAAATGTAAGAAAAATAGCTAAGGTATTTATATAAAAGAAAAATTATTTTGATTCATCTATTTTACAAAAAATTTTGTTAGTGAATTATAATAAAAAATCATAATTTGTTGAGTGATTTCCTCCCATTTACATGAAACAAAAGATATGTTTTAAATATTAAGAGTAATGTTTTCAACTAGATATAATTTGTGATTTTTTGATGTATTTTAAGTAAAATCGATACAGTGACAACTGAGAAAAACTAATGTCAGACAAAAAAAAATATAAAACGAATATATTTTTTAAATTATTTTAATTATAATAATTAATTATAACGCTAAATGCATTCTTCAATAAGTATAATTATGTTATACTAATATGATATATTTTAGCTGAGTAAGTTTTATTTTTTAGGTCACTAGAAATACTATAATTATAAGTAATTATTTCTAGTTTTTTTTTGTATACGATTTTAACTGAAATTTCATTTACCTGATCGATATATAAATACCCAACCACCAACATTTTGACGTAGTTATACGTAAAAAAATTATAATCAATTATTAAAATAACTTCGTCACATAATGTACATAGGGGAACTTTTTATAATAATTAAAATAAATCGCCATCGAAGTACTTTTTTGGGGGGGATTTTACAATATTTCCGTATAGTGTAAAATGCGTTAACCGATTTTAAAAGGTTCTTGTTATAAGCTGAAAATTTCATATACAACATAAATATTAGATAAAAATAATATGTATAAATAAATAAATAATTTACAAATACATGATAGTTATTATTTTATTTTTAAGCAAAAGTAAACATATTTTCTTAACATAGACAATATAAACGAAAACAAATAACAATAAAAATTCTAAATTTAAGAAGAAACAATTGTATATATTTAGAAAAATATCATAAAAAATAATAATTAAATTTAATATGAAAAAAATAGTTGAACATTTTTATATTTATAGTTTAGAGAATATTAATAAGCTCATAAATTACATTAAAATAACTTTAAAAATACATAACTAATAAGTAAAAAGGTATATATTGACATATATTAACTTAAAATACAATAAGTCTTTTGTATTTTAATTTTTTTTATGGTTTCTATTGGAGAGATATAAAAAATATTTCTAAGATTTGAATATCAGTTACAATTTGAGTTTCATTTATTAAGTTGTTAAAATATTAAGAACAATTAATTAAAACTTAAAATTAAATATCATAACAAATATTTATATTCCATACAAAATATAAAATCATTTTTCATTACATTTAAAAGTAATCAAACGTTTGTTTTTGTAATTAACGCAAAAACTATACTCAACATTTATTTTTGCTAATAATTTCAAAACGCATTATAAAAAACTAACAGTCCAAACTTAAAATTTTATCGATGTTTGCAAAGTCCAATAATAATAAAAAATATTTGTATTCATAGTGGTATATTATAAAAATGTTGACGTTAAAATTCTGTCTTCACAAATACATGATTATTTAATTCATCAGCTACAAATAATTTAGAGTTCTATAACAATTACAAACAATAAAGACAAAAATTACTACATGCGTATAAAATCGACGTATCAAATAATTACGAAAGTATTTATGGTGTAAAATGTCTTTAATTTAATACATTTATTCCATATAATGTAAAAATTCATTTTAAGTATAACAAATTTTATTCGAAGACTTTCATTAAAAATGTTCCTAAGTCTATATAAAATAAATAATCTGGAGTTTCTTCACTACATCAGGTACTAGTGTCGAATTTATGTGTACGTTTCAATTGGTTTTGACATCAATAAATTTATAGTATACTTAATACATTATGTGAAATGAGATAACTATCGAAATATTTGAAATATGAACACCAGAAAAATATTGAAAATTCGCCGCTTCATACACGAATTAACTAGATTCATAGGTTTGAATCCCCTGAATATATAGTTAATAAAATAAATATATAGTTGGAAAAATAATTTTTTACCCCAACATATTTTAGTTTTAGAATTGTCTTCCGTTCTGAAATGAAATTTTGGTTACATATCTGCAGTACCTAGTATTGCTTACCCCTTTTCTGTCCTAAAATCGTGAGTTACACTATGAATGTGTCTTTGGGATACTCAATTTCTATTAAATACAGCCACAAAATGTAATTACAAACAATAGTTTAAAAAATAGTAGGTGATTAATCAAATGAATCATTTTAATAACCAGGAAATCATTTCAACAATACCGAAATTTCACGTATACAAGTATATAGTAATTTTATAACTTAAAGTTTGAATTTTTTTTTAATAGAAAGTAAAATGAAAAAGGAAGAAAAAATTTTTTGGCAGCGGTGGGATTCGAACCCACGCCTCCGAAGAGACTGGTGCCTTAAACCAGCGCCTTAGACCGCTCGGCCACGCTACCTACATGTTGAGAACGTAACTAACACCTCTATTTCAGAAAAGTGCTCAATTAAAATCTTGGCCGGAAATGAATTTATAATTGAATTAAAAATTGTTTTATTGAATACCATTTCAAAAAAAAACGACAGAAAATTTTTTTAAATAAATAAATACACTATAAAAATTATTAAAGGAATCATAAAAAAACTATAAACTAATTCACAAACAAAAATTTTTAGAAAACCAAAAATATTTGTTTTACATGAAAATGTAAAAAAAATATATAACAAATTATCTAATACATCAGACAATTTATTTACATGTAACATATTTTGAGATGTACTTTTCTGGACTATAATTAATTAAATAAAAAATGTATTGGTCTTTTTCTTTTTTTAGACACAATATCTAAATTTTAGGAAAAACTTAAAGCATATACTTAAATATAAAACTTGCAAATATGTACATGTCAAAAACTCTATTAAAATTTCATCAAATTAATCAACTGATGACAATTCATATTTCTATTTGTTCCATACCTAAAGGTTAATAATCTTGAAAATTCTGAAAAATGATCAGTTTTACATCCTACCATTTCCTGGTAATAACATTCTACAAAAGGCGGTGAAAGAATATTTAAATATTAAGGAGTCAAATATAGTTCTTGGCTAAGCCAATGATGGGCAGTTTGGATATTATGGCTACTTTACACTAAAAATCAGACACCATCAATAAGAAAAATCTCGTTGGCACCCTGGGGATCAAACCTGGAATTCCGTGCACACATATACATTTCTACTCACAAGGCTAAGTTGACCCTCAATATAGAAAATTCTGATTTTTCTATATTTTATAAAGAATTTTAAACTCTAGTATGATTTTTTTTTAATAACATGACAATATGAATTAGATATTTGTAATTTAAAGAAAAATAAATTTTTGTATTTAAAAAAGGTACCAAATATTTTATATTATGACAAAAAAATTTTCTTTTTTTAATACTTACAATTCATGATTTAAATTTTTTTCTTTAAAATTGCTTTTGAAAAATAATGTAACATGGATTACTTGATAGTTATTATTCTGAAATTCCAATTATAAAAAAATAACAATTAAAAATCATAAAATCTTAATGTGAAATTTAAACTTACAATTTGGTAAAGATGATCAATAAGAACATCAAGTATTATATTATTGGTAAGTTTGACAAATGCTTCAGTAACATCTACAGGTATGGTACAAATTTCATTATATCCAGTCAAGCAACATTGAATAGCTTGACCTGGTAGAGTACTGAATTCAGTTTTCATCAGCCTCAATTCAGATTTTGGAATACAATCAACAGTCCCATAATCTACTTGAAGTATCTAATACAAAAAAACTTGAATATATTATTTGTTACTAAAAAAAATGATATATAAGAATATAATATTTAAATTATATCATAATAATTAATTACTTCAACACTATTTTTATCAATTTCTTTTAACACTTTAACTCTGTTCCAATGTTTAATATTGGAGTAAGATAAATAAGAAGTAACAAATACTCTTCCTGGTGTTATGTGTTCTGGGTTAACTAAATATCTACTTTCTTCTTGTTCTTGACCATAAAATTTCCTGATTATATCATGAAAAGGATAATTAATAATTATTAGTGAAATATGTCAACAATATAACTACATAGATTTTATTCATCCCGTAGTTGAATATATAACAGAAATGGGGTATGGGTTTTAGAGTTATGATTAATTTTTATCATTTAGAAATGTTTGGTTACATTTCTATATTAAATTTGATATTTTAAATTAGCACATTTTCTTATTACTTGTATAGGGAAGAATTAAATTTTTTAAGCTTGACTTGTTTATAATATATTTACAGGGTGATCACAAAATACTTGATTATTGCAAAATAATTACAATATTAAAAAATAAATGTTTTGTATAAATATTTTTGATTTATCGGGTATGAATTAATTTTTAGATAAATTCCTTATAGTTTATAAGGTGTCAAATTTATTTTTGTTAATGATTACATATATATTTAACTATCTTCTAAAATATAAAATGTTCTAATTAAGAAAATGTTTGGTTGATAAAAACTTTTAAACCAGCACTTTATAAGTTATTAGTATTTTAAAATATAATAGACTGCATTTTACATTTTCAAATGTATATGTTTATTGAATTTATACGCTCATTCATAAAATATTGAGCGTATACTTAAAAAAAACAATAGAATGTATTTGACAAATGTTTTTGTTTATGGAACAAAAGAATTTTGACCGTATGTCTAATAAAATAATAGAATCTGTCTATGATACACAATAACCTTTTTATTTTTCGAACCTTTTATAAAGAAGTTTCACTTCAAACAAAAAGCTTTATTTCGAATATTGTATTTATTTTATGAGTAATCAAGTGGTAAACCAATCAATCTATAAATATATAATATAAACTTATCAAAAGACAATATAAATCACAAAAGACATTAAATATAACACATTCACATAACAGGTAATATTTAGGTAAGATAATGCCCTTTTTTAATTTTAAATTTGAATATATTAAGTAATAATGAATTGCAAAATTGAATTAGCATATTAATCACTAGATTATATAGCAAAAAAATCCATTTAATTATTTGTTTGAAAAAATTAATGAATATTAGGGCGTTTCTTATTTTATAAACTTTCATTGATCAATCTCGTTATTATATTAAAGTTAATTGGGTAAAATTTGGTTTTGATAATATATCCCCTCCAGGTGCCGAATCGGGGTTGAAAATTCACTCAAATGGGTAATTTATTAGTTTTTGATCATTATTTCTAAAACTAACACACCTAACATAAAAATGTATAGAATATAAATTATATATTTTAATATTTTCTTTGAAAAAGGGGTTTACAGAAATTTTCTAAAATTATTTTTACTAGCTCAAATAAAGTAAAAAATGAAAAAAAATTTGCTTAAATTCACTTTTTTAACATAAATCATTCTTAACTTTCAAAATAATCACTTTACAATAAAATGATTCGTATAAAAAATATGTAAAATTTAATTTTCTACAAAATTAGTCTTATGTGAAATTATAGTCAGATGTATAATTTTGTTATTTTTATAACACTAACAATATAAATATGATTGATTAAAACTGTTTATTCAGTGTATTATGATAATAATTAGGGTATTTCCTCCTATAGTTGTGTAGGGTCTGCAAAAAGTAAATACTAGTTATCACATAATTTAGTTAATAAAAATTATGAGTCTATTTTTATGTTAAATTGTCTAAAATTTTGTGAAGACATATCTGTAATTAAGTCAACTGATAAGTCTTTCGATAAAAAATGTGACACATCATCGATTTTTAAATTAAGTTTTTTATTATCACCTATGTCTTTGAATGATTTTTAATATATTTAAAATTGTGTCATTTGACTAAATGGAAAATTCAGTTTTATTTATTTTCGCCAATCATTAATAAATCTTTTAAAAAGTGATAAATCTGGATTAGACGATGGAACAAATTTTGCTTCAACAAAAACGGAGATCTATCAATGAAAATTTATAAAATAAGAGCCAGCCTAATGAATATACTAGACATATAGATTAAAAATTATATAGTTAGCATATTTATTCTACTATCTTTTCTAATTATATGAGATAAAATATTTACTGTATTTTAGTTGATAACTGTTCGAGTTGTATGGTTTTATAAGCCAAACGAAGATAAAATAAAGTTGGATTGTACACTTCAGATAACACCATTCTATCTTTTGAATTTTGAATTATAGGAAGTTTTTCCTGATCTAACTTAAAAGTTACTTCAATATTTTTCTCTGAGTAATACTTACAATTTATATCCTAAAAAAAAAAAACATTTTGAAGAGAAATGACTAACAAATTAAGGTTGTTACAAAATGAATATTGGTGTTTTAAAATATAATTTTTAATAAAAGTGAAATTTTTATAAATTTTATGTTCTTAAAATGTCGATAACTGTTTGAAACATTATGTATAATATTCATTTTGTAACATCATGTTTTATTCTTAAAAAATTTAAGTTATTTATTACTTTTGTAGAAATATTTTTTAAATTATTTTTATATCTGTTAAAAATTTCCTCATGAATATTTGAATTTTTCAATGAAGGTTTTGGATAAATTATATTGATTTTCATACTAATTATTCCATCAAAAAATTTCAAGAGCTCTTCATCAGATGAAAAACCAAAATTGTTTGGCTCAAGTGTGTCATCAAAAGATCTCTAGAATATTAATACTTTTATCAATTTAACTGTTTTAGTTTATTTATTAATTGATAATGTTGTGTTGTTTACATGATAATAAATACATAATTTTTATTTTATTTACAACATAATTGCCAACATTTTTAAATGGTCCTTTAGTTTATTGTATGAAAAAACTAATATTGAGGTGTGTATGTTTAAAATAACAAGAAAAAAAGTTCCTTTTTAGAGTATGTTACACAATGATTGTAGGAAGATCATATGACAACATTTGTGGTATTTGACCTTTCAATATAATTCAATATAATTCTACATAATTTATTTTTTATCTAAATGAGCAAGTAACTTAAAATTTAACTTGGACTAAATAAGAATAGTTAAAAAAAATGCATAGTGTAAGTCATTTGAAACATTAAACTATGAAGCTGTTAATATTGAAATTATTTTTTTCAATCTATATATATTTTTTTACTAACAGTGTGATATATTACAAAATTTGAGATACATAAATTAGTTTCATGACAATGTTATATTCCATATAATGTAAGAACAAACATTTTTTGAAAAATATTATTCTTTAAGACTTATACATTTAAAAATAAACATAATTTGATTAAACACTTTTTCTGAGTTTGTTTTTAATGATCAAATGAATTTTGAATAATTTCTAAAAGGTTCATTAGAGATTTCATTGACATTTATAATATTTTAAAAAGTTACTGGTACATAAATCTAGTGTATACAGCAGATGAGAAGATGTTAAATATTGTTTTTGGTAATTCAATTACAGACAATCAATATGAAAAGTTTAAAGTATATCTGATTAAGTTTAAACTTTCAATCTTTCACAACTTTGGTTGTGTTAAATTCATATGTTTACAGAATTGCTTTAAAATATCAATACAGTTATGTAAAAATGTAGTTGAACATTAAAAAATCTTGCAATGGTAGGTTATTTATACCAGTTTTGATGTTTTGGCCAACCATCCATTTTTTCATCTTAAATGTAATTTTGAAACGATCAATCCAATTGAATAATTTCTCATTTCTCACAAGCCTCGCATAGTAGAGAAAATTTAATAAAAAAAAAATCATTTTTGTTGAGCTGGATAAAATATTTCATATCAATTCCTTATTCTTTAAAATATTTTTAGTTCATTTTTGAACAAATTCCACAAATCATGGAAATGCTAATTTTTAAAAAACTATTCAACAAACAAAACACTAACTCATTTGACCAGAAATTTTAACATAAGAATAATAACATTTTCATTCTAAAAATACAGTAATAGTCAAATACAGTAATAGCCTGAGATAAATAAAAATGATTGCACACATTTTTTGTCCACATCTTATTAACTTACGGTTATATTTTTTAAGTAATATTTCAATTTCTCTAATTAAAAAACTTATATTAAAATTTCTCAATTAAAAAAAATTTGAATTCTGCAAACAGAAGAACTAAACAATTTTGTAAATAGATTTGACAACTTACATTATAAATATATTTTAGGTTGTTCAAATGAATTGCACAAAAATAGTTTCTTAACAGAAAAATCATATTGGATAACAGTTTTTTATGGAGTTCATCTTTCACACTATAAAATATTTTATTCAAGTTTTCTGTAATATTGAAAACATATTTTTTTTTTTTTAATTACATTATTTTTTATTTACAAGTATATAGTAAATATGAAATTTAAAAAATATTACATACCATTATCACAATAAATTATTTTTGATCCAAAGATATTATTTGAAGTTTCTCCACAATTATTAAGTGATGTAGAATGATTCAAACTGCAATTAGACTGCATCTAGAAAAATTATATAAATAATATACTTACAAATTTTAAAAATCTAAGTGTTATATATAAATGTTGAGTAAATTTCATTATTTTATTATCTAATTACTACACATAAAATATACTTACATTATTTAAACCATTAACTAATGCATTTTTGTTTAAATTGTTGACATTATTTGAATTATTCTTTGATTGCATAACTTGACAGAGATACTTAGATTTATCAATAAGAGATATACTTTTATGATCTAATTTAAGGTTTGAATTTGCATTTACACGGTTCATCACATAATCAGTCATGGTTTTAGGCCCAAAATTATTTTTCCCAAGATTGCAATTATTTACTTTTGATATTTTTACTTCTTTTTTATGATCATTTTGATTTATAGAACAATTTTTTTTAAATGAGCTATTCTGGTTACATTCTTTTTTGTGAGGAAATTTTGATGTCTGTGATCCAATTGGTGTACTTGTAACAATTTTAATCATATTGGTTGACTGATCTAAAAATTGAAGGAAAAATCAGAAGACTATACCAAAAACTGTACACACATTTACTTTGCACTTTACTTATTATTTACTAGTGCATATATTTTCTATAAGAATATTTTTAGAATACTCGGTATTTATAAAGGGAATTTTAATTGTATTATATTTTAAACCTCTAATATTTTATCAATTATCCTCCCATGAATTTAGTTTTAGATGTGATATGACATCTAGTTTGTTTTTATTTAAATTTTTGTTGAAATAAATATGACATAATTGTTTAATATTCATAATGAACAAAATAATAACTTAATAAACTAAGTGACTATATATGTTTATATTTGATAAACATGTTTTTTTGTTTTTGACTTAAAGTTATGCAGAATTTACATTTGATCTAAGCTTAAATTTTCTTAGACTTTCAAAGTTGAATTTTGATATGTTTAGATTGATTAGATGTGCAAACAAGAAAATCTCAGTGGACTTTCTTAACATGGGGCTGGACATTAATTTTGGGATTATTAGTTCAGACTATATTATATTTTGACTATTTTATAAAATCTGATATTTTGCCTATTTTTATTTACAAATTATAAGTTTAAAGGTTATCCAAATAAACAAACATCTTTAAGTAAAAAATGTTGGTGAGCCTTTTACTTTCAATTTACTGCTATACTTTGGTAACAAATTAAAAACAACATTACAGCATAATTATACTAATAATTGTTTAAAATATTGTTGGCACTGTAAGTTTTTTCCTGATTTTTATTACATACTTGATATATTAGAGGAATCTTTTAATTTTTTATTGTTTTCCAAATATAAATACATATTTCTTGAATCCATTAAGTCTTTAAAATTGATTATTTCTGTATCAATTAGTTTTTCATCTATATTACTATAAGTTGGATTACTTTGAATGTGTTTTTTTAAAGAATCTAATGTATGTTCCTAAAATATTTAAATAATAAGTATAAATATAACAATAAAATAGAAATATTTTATTTAATTAGTAGTATAAAATCACCGTTTCACTTTTTGACAAAAAATGTCGTATATATGAATGTAAATTATACAAATTATGAGAGACAGATTTTTGTAACATAGTTTCACTGGATGTTGATGAAAAACTACTCGATAAAGATGATGAATAAATTCCTTTATCTTCAAAACAAGATGCATTAAGACTCTTGGTTACAATTTTAGGTTTAATTTCAGTAGTATTACTAAAACTACTTTGAATAGAATTGAACTTAGTAGACACTTCATTTTTGTTTACTTTATCATTATTTATAATTTGTTGATTTATTGGCTGACAATGGTACGTTTTATTATAATGAGTAGTATTGTGTTGGTAATCTTTGTTATTTTTATAAGTAAAATTGTTAAATGATTGATTTTTGTTAGCAACATAATTAATTTGATTCCTTCTATAGTTATTTCCACCATGTATTTTGTTTCCATTAGATATGCGCACATTAAATCTATTTTTAAGACCAGACTTTGATTTTTTTTTCTTAGGAATTTTTTGTTTAACAACCAAATTTCTCAAATGACTAGTTTTATCTCCCACAACAAGAGTTAAAAGTGTATCTTTATTTGGATTAGGTGGTAGCTAAAATAATAAATTTAATATATTACTAGTATATCATACAACTTAATAAACTTACCACCAATACATCACTCATAATTCTAAGTAAATCAAAAATTGTTTTAAATCCAAATTTTACATAAGGCACTTTTTCACCTTCTTGTGCATAATAATCTTTAAGTAGCTGTTCTATACTAAGTTTTTTTGGAGAACTGGTTAGCAAACTCCGTATATTGATTTTTAATTCTTCTAAACTTTCTGCCATAATTTGATTTAATTTCTTCTAAAAAAATATTATCAAAAGGTTATACTTATTATCATGTAATACCATTCAACAATGAACAAGAATAATAAAAAGTCCAATTATTTATTTTCATTTGTTATTGTTATTATTTTGATATCATTATGACAGCTTTTTTAAATTTATTTTAGATTTAAATTATTACAATAAAATTAATAAAAATTACATAATACAACAGTTATTATTTTTAAGTAAAATTAGAGACTTTAAAAAAGTTATTTCCCAAAGAAATTTTAAATTAAGTAGATATCAGTGAATATCAGCAAAATTGTACTTAATAGTCTTAGACAACTCTTTTAATAATTAGAAAATATTCAATTATACTTTTAAATGCAATAGTAATAAAATTAGGAGTTAAAAATAATATCTTAAAATAAAACGAATATAAAAGTTACAAAACTAAGTTTTGTAAAACACATGAATACCTATTTCATTAATTAAATTAACTTATCGATATAAAATCTTGACTTTTAAAAATGTAACGAAAATAGCTTATTATTAATTTGAATTATAGTTCACGGAATTCATCTGAATAAATCAACAAATTTTCAAATAATTTGGAACCACAGATACTTCAATGTACATGTGAGTAAAATTTAACTTATTACATTTTTTATCATTATCAACTACATTTTTATTCAAAAATATACGGAGCACAACAAAAAGCAATGCACTCAAAAATATAATCAAAATTCGTATAAATGCATAAATCTGTTAAATTTATATAGTTCTATGTGATGGGTTATGGGGAATGCCGCGAACTGATAATGTTTCGACATTCGGATACTCCGACCACAATTATAGATAAGTCTTATCCATAATCTTGATTCTGACATTGTAAAAAAGTCCTTTAAATTCATTTACTCCGACAACAATTACTGCGAATACCTGGTTACAAAAATTTGGATTTCAGTACGACGATGATTACTCCGAATAGAATAATTAATTGATTGCTTCGTATAAAATTTACTCCGAATATTGATAATCGCAAAATCGTTTAATAAAATTATTAAACTTAGGATTTTATGAATATCGTAGCAAAATAAATAATTAACATAAAATAGTGTTGTAATTGTTTACTGCCTATTAACAAATAATTATTACAATTAAGGCTCTCAAAGTATATCTGACTTTCAAAACAATAGGTATTTAGGTAAGATAGAAGGGGGCTTTAAAATAAAAACATCCCAGTTATATAATTGGCATAAGTCAACAAAAAGTTCTTTATTATTTTTAGGGGATAGAAGAGCGATTTCAATTTTCGGACTAAGTCTTTTTTGAATCTCCTTACTATCGCCTACTGTTATAACCTCTTACGTTTAGTAAATATTAATAAAAAAATTTATATTTCTTGTTGTATATATATATATTTTTGAGAGAAGGTAAAAAATTATGTAATAAAAGCTCCCAAATATTATGTCACAATATGTCTATACTCTAGGCATATCAAGCGAACACAAACAGTTTTAAGTTAACAGTGCACAATAGTTTATGACTATACCTAAACTTACTCAACCCTTCTATTAAAATATTTAGATTTAAACTTAACTAACTCAAGTTAAAAAAGACTCAGCACTAGGGGTCGTGCCACAGTGGTGACGTGTTGTTCGGTCAAGTATAATGATATCTGACGGTGATTAAAATCACTATAAAAAAAAAAACGCTTCGATGCAAATCATTAGTGTTTAATTTTAAAAAATTGGTGGATTATTCCAAAAGCTACATGATCTGCTAGTTCCTTATTAATATCCTGATTAAGATAAAGTTTGTCGAATAAAAGAGGGATATAAATATTATTTCTCATACAAAAATTGTATTGATCCATACACTTTTCAATAAGTTATAACATTATAAAGTTAAAAATGTAAAATACAATATCGAGAATTCACACAAAAATAGCATTTGGTAGCCATTTTCACCATGAAGACAAAATAAAGTCCTAAATTTTTTTGTTCATGATTATGTATGTTATATTATTTTTAATTTAAAGTATGTATAAAAGTGTCAGACTTTCTGGAACACTTTCAAAAATTAATTTGAAAAAGTTAATTTTTTGTGAGAAAAAGTTGTCATTTAAATTCCTGTGGGCAGATAAAGGGTCAGATTTATAAATAAAAATATACCAAATGAAAGGTAAAGACATCATGCATCTATAAAAAAAAATTATATTGATATGGATATTTTTAAAAAAGTTATGGCAGTTTTAAGTAATAAAAAATTGAAAAAATGTCAAAAATTAGCGATTTTTAAGTTTGTAAATTAATTATCTTCTCATAGTCTGCCTGGCTAAGGTCCCCATTAAATTTGAGATTTTTTTTCTTACTGGACCACTGAGGAAATTGTCTCAGTGGTCATTAAGGAAATGGTTTCGGCATTTTCAAGGTTCCAAATCGATACTGTCCCCTAATCGAGATCGATTAGATCTCACCAAAGCTGAAATTTATACAAACGAGTAATATATTGGAACGAAATCAACACACAAAAACACTGTCAAAAAAAAATGTTACCTTTTGACTATTTTCTTATTATATACCTTATTATATAGATAATAAATATTCAAATAAAAACATGTATGCCAATAAAATAAAAATGTTTGATTATCGATAATGTCGGAGTTTTTATCATGTTTTATTTTTTTTAGTATTGTAGTAAAATCCGTCATGGTCATGTTAACCTATGGTATCAGATAATTACTACTTTGTCAAAAGTCGAACAATTATTAGATGGTGGCAAAGGTGTTTCTCTCTATATGAATACTTATTATCACAGAAAAGATAATATTTTATCTGTATTATTATCATAAGACGTGTAAAACTAGTCATTTTCTATTGAGCGACATGGAAATTTAAAATTTAATCGTGGCACAATCGGTGTTATCGTTGGCGATTGTGAATAGTTAATAATTCAATAATTCAATAATTCAATTTATTTAACTGCATTTGTCTATTTTTTCTACTTTCTGATTAAATATTTTAGTAAATATCAAAATATTATTAAGTTTTTTAGCATATATTGAATATGGAGCTATATTTTTTATTTTAAAATAGATGTTCATAGGGAACGTTCATGATTTAAACAAATTTGATTAAAATCATGACATCCAGTGATTGGAATGAAGTGAAGTTGCTTGCTGCAGACTTTCAAAGAATTCAGTTGACTTCTTCATCTCAAAGGTTTCTATATCTAATGAAATAAATAATTTTTTTTAACCATGTTGATATTTTTTAGATTAGGAGAGCGTAATTGTATTGAAATAGTCTCAAAACTTATTAGCTCTAAACAATTAGATGTTGTGTTTACAACTGATGGAAAAGAATATATCACTCCAATACATCTGACTAAAGAACTTCAAGATGAAACTTATGTTCAAGGAGGTATAATAAAATATCATAATTTAAATTTACCTATCTAAATTACATGTTAACAGCATATAAAAATATTAATGTAATTTTGTGAATAAAAAAATGTATGAAGTGTTTTTGTTTTTGAAAATTTTTTTATTAATAAAAATTATAATTTTTCACTATATTAGAAAAAAAATACAAAGAATCATTATTCCTAATGAAATTTTTCATAGTTATTCTTTGGAATTCTTATGAAACTTTTTAAATAAAGTATGACTTTATTTACTTTAAGAAGTATTCATTTTTTCTAGGTCGCATAAATATATTAGATGCTGCTAGATCTTTAAAAGTCGATTCTGTTATTGCCATTAAGTTATGTGAAAAATTAGCGCAGAAAGAACCAGATGACTTTTTTGTTATTCATGGACAATTAATTGGATCAAATTATCTAAATGAGATTGCTGAAGATATCATAGATAAATTAGAACAATATGGTCATATAAATTCAATAAAGATATCTCAACAATATGATTTACCTGTTGATTTAATTGATATGGTAAACAATATGTTAATTATCATTATTATTTTTATTTATTTAATGTAGACTTTATTCTAATAATAGAAAATTATCTAATATTTTCCCTACTGTGATACTAAATTATTGCAATAAACATAATAGAAAAACTTAAATAACCTGCAAAATTATAGTTTAGTACATGAATACTAAGGTATAGTACGTTTTTAATTAAATTAAATAGTTCAACCAATTTATTTTAATTTTCATTTAAATATACTTTTAATAAGGTGTTAATAATATATTTTTATTACTTTTTTTTTTTAGATACTTCATAAACACACAAAGAAATTATCTTTTAATATTCATAGGAATAAAAATAATCCATATCTGTACTATACAGATTTGTACTTTAATTCTATTAAAAGAATTGTTAAAGGTGCAGTTTTAGCTGTCACTAGACCAATATTATGTACAGCTATAATAAATCAGTGTTCAATTGATGAAAAAGAATTTTTTAGTAAGTTTTCAAAGAGTACAAAAGTTTTTTTTTCAGTTAAACAGTTTCTTTATCTATATAAAATATATAACTTTACCAAAAAATGAAATAAAATATACTCTAATATTTAAACAAAATTGTCAGGTGTACTGGAAAGTTTATTAGCATCAAAACAAGTACCTGGTATATTAACTGATAGAATTGGAAATGCTTGCACTTACATACCAAACATACATGTAAAAACTCTCAATGACTGGGTTCTAAACTTTTATTCTAATAATAATTATTTAGGTTAGTTGATTTACTTACATACTATTTATGTATCACTGTATTATTTATTAGTATATTTTTTTAGATTATGCAGCAATGAATAGTGTAGGAATCACTGATCCATCTTCTTTTATATCCCGCATGTCAATTGGAAAAGAAATGATAACATTAACATCATGTTCTGTTGGTCCTAAAATTATAGATGATGTTTCTAGTGCTATTGAAGATTCCATTGTTAACAGTTCTTGGATTGATATTATGGTATAGTTAAATTTTTTTTAAATAGAACTTTTGTTTTTTTTTTATAACTTTATAAAAGAAAATGATTACTCTTAATTGACAGAAAGATTATTCAGTCTACAAACAATTATATAAAACAAATATTTTGTTTAAATAAGAATTACTTGAAGTTATCTTATCTTTATATGCAAAATTGTATAAATATGTGTATAAAATTTAGTAATTAAAAAAAATTAACATAATTTTTAGGATGTTGTACCTATGGTTTTTGATACTAAAGATGGAGTAACTATTTTAGAATACCTGTTGAAAAAGAAAAAATTATCGAATGGCTATCAAATTTTTGACAAAACCGTATTAGTTACAGATAAATTCATTGAAAAACAAATTAATTCTATTCTAAATACTTTGGAAGGAAAAATTAAACAAGTAATATTGCCAAATGGAAAGATTTTATACAATAATATATTAATTTAGTAGTATTTAATCTATTGTAATTAGAAATCAATAGTATAATATATACAGAATGATTTAAGAGTTTTCATCTGAATACAAATTAATATGTCACATAAATTGCTTAGCTTAGGTTAATTATTTGTGTATTACTAGAAAGATAAATTTTTTCTGTTCCAAAGAAATGCTTCTAGAAGTTAATTAAAATGATTCATATTCAAAAATTAATTTGTGACAAAATGTCACAATAGATAGCATTTTGTGTCTTTCGTTTTAGTTGATATTAGTTGTCTATAAATATTTAGCTAAATTTTCAAGAGATTTTTTGAACTGAATGCTTTAAACAATTGTAGTTTCAGTATCATTAGTTCTATGAGAATCAAGCTGAATACTTATAGTTGATTTATACTGTCTAAAAATAAAAATAAAAAAATCTTTATGGTTTGTGATCATTATTTCACAAAATTAATTTTTGAATATTAATTATTATAATCAACTTCCAGACACATTTAGTAACAGCAATAAACTTATTAATTTACTAAGTTTATTTGTTAGTTATAATAAACTAATAACTTTATCTTTCTAGATATATATGAATAAATAGCCTTGGTCAAGCAGTTGCTTAGTTATATTAATTAGAAATTGAATGAAAACTATTGAATCACTTTGTTAATATATTTTAGCTTTGATACATAATTGAAAACCCTATTTTTTAGATATTCAGCAAAATCTATTTGTAATTTCAGCTTTATTAGCATTATTAATAAATATAAACACTACTTTTAATGGATATTTTTTCTCTGTATTTTTAAATCATTTTATTATTTTTTCCAGTACAATTTTTTTTCGATGAGTTTCCAAAAGATATTTCTAGATTTTTAACTGATTACTGAAATATTTAATAATAATATTAATATTAATTTTGTATATATTATATAAAAAATTAATACATACCTCTTATAAGAGGAATAACTTTTCCTAATGTTTGTCGTTTTTCTGATGATACTTGTACAGTGAAACTTTTGTATGGATTCAATAGTATTACTAAATAAAATTCTACTATTCATTTATTGACATACTAAGTTATTCTTGTATTTCTTAAAAAAGTCTTTTAGACAATTTGCTATATTTGAAATATCCAACAATAGTTCAATTTTGTTATATTTAATGATGGAACATATACACCATTCAAAATTAAATAAAATTAAAGATTTATTTAATGTACAATACAATTAAAGAAAAAAAAATATTGTAACAACTTCTTCTATGAGTAGTAGACCTCTTAAGTTGTAAATCATCTTTTTATTAGTAGATTTGATACATTTTTAAAGAAATTTATTTCAATTTATCAATGAAGTGTTTAAAAACAGTGATTTTAATTATTGGCAGATATCAGTTAATAGTAATTTAAAAAAAATTCTTCATCTTTACTCCAAGTAAACTGTACTTAAATTTTTAATTATTGTATCTTGTAAATTTTTTTTTTTTTTATAATACGATATAAATATCAAGATTTTTTGTTGAACATACAGAAAGTTGAATCTGGGGATTATGCTAATGCTCTTCTGGAGTGGAAAGTTCAACAAAAAATAACAGAAGATAAAAACCCTGAGCTGAGCCGTAAAGAAGAAAGAAAAAAAAAGTCTGGTGGTAAACATGGTGGAGGAACTCAGGTTTATACTTATTATTATATTTTTAATTATTCAAAATTTATTAACTAAAAAAATTTAAAAATAACTGCAAATCTATTAATTTTATATAACATTTTTTTATGGATGCTTAAGAATGAAAAATCATTATTTATATTTTAAAAATAATATTAAATAAAACTGTTTATGCTATTTACAGTATTAATTATTCTGTTAATTATATTTATAATTCTAGATACTATGACTATTGAAATCTGAAACATTCTATCTCTTACTTTTTTGAGAAAATTTTAATACAATTTGTATGAATAATGTTATAGGGACGGGAAACTAAAATTAAAGCTGTAAAAAAAAAATATGGCCAAAAAACCAAGCAACAAGATTCAGATTCTGATGATAATGATAATAAAATTATTAGTAATGAACAATATATTATTGAAATTGTTACTTTGGATGAAATCAAACAATATTTAATGGCCGAAGAAACATTTAAAGATATTGAAGGAGAAAAAGATTCATTAATAGAAAAGATTGCTTTACACTTTTATCCGTTAGTAAAAATAATTTATTATTGATTAGATTAATTTAGATACTTACAATTTTGTTTCAATAGAATTTTAAATAAAGAGATGTTGAGACAAGCCCAGATAATGCATGATCAAATAATGGCAAATCGTACTGGTGATAGAAGGAAAGTGCATCAAGAATTCAGAGATAAAATTTTATTGCTAATTACTGATTTTCATCATTACATTAAGGGTATTCAAAAGCTAGATAATTCCGATGTCCAAAGTCAACTTACTATATTTTTATTAAAATTAACTGGAGGTGATATAATTGAAGTTGTTCAAAAATATATAAAAGAAAATAGAGAACATAATTCTAAAGTAAGTTTTATTATCAGGTGAAAATCAAATATTTATTTTTATAATTTATTATTATTATATTCAGCTTAAATCAATTCAATATGATGATAATCAAATCCAAAATGCTGTTGAACGATTACAAAAATCATTAGTAACCAAAAGTACAGATGATTTTAATGAATCTGTTGATCTCTTATTATCTGCTGTAGATATTGTACAAAAAAAAAATGATCGCAAAAAAGAAAGGTAAACATTTGTATTTTTATTAAACTTTTTTTTTTCCTCGCCTTAATTCCAACTAAGGGTCAGCCACCCATATTCTAAACTTCCACTTGACATGATCTCCTATGTCATTTACGCATATATCAGCCATCCTCATATCGCATTAATTAATATTCTACCATCTCTTTTTTGGTTTTCTGTACCTCTTCTTTATTCAACATTCATTTCCATTTCATCAACTGTTTTTATAGCTTCCGATTCCTCTCTCCTTATAACATGACCAAGTCTATTTTCTCTTATCTTAACCACGATTAACGATTTTTACTTTCTTTTGTTCCTAGCTTATCATACAACTCATCTTACCTCTTAAACTTCGTCTTACTTACTGCATACTTTACTTCTTTACACAAGTGTTTGTATTCCATCCAATCTTCTCTTATTTTGCTCTTTTGCCATACTTGAAACTACTTTTTATTATGATTCTCTGAATGTCTTCATCCAACCACCAGGTTTCTTGTTTCCTAGAATTTTTCTCCTACTTTCACCACTAATTTCCTTTGCAGTATTCTTTACACAACTAGCAAATACATTCCACTCATCATTATGTCTCCCTTGACATTCCACACAGTTTTCTCTTTTACTGTCTTTAAAAACTTTTTCTTTATCCCCTTTCAATTTTCACCATCGGATCACCGATTCTCCTCCTGTGTTCTTTCTTTTTTTGTATGCCCTTTTCCCACTTCATCACAATTCCATTTCCATCACTCTATGTTGTGTAGTTACACTATCACATGGGATAACTTTAAAATCTTCTACTCGCTTTAAAATCTTTATCTTCCATATAAAATAATCAATCTATGATCTATTACTTTCATTTTTTAAAGTTATATAATGTTCTTCCCTCTTTTTGAAATAAGTATTTACCACAGAAAGATCATATGATACTGCGAAATCCAGGATTCCTTGCATCACCTCCTCATCCATTACTCTCCAAAATACTTCTTCGTCTATTTCATCACATCCTACTTGTGGTGCATAGGCACTTACTACATTCCATAACAAATATTAACTTTTCTCCTCTTCAATACTTCTACTAATTCCAGTTAATGTTCTAACATTCCACGTACCTATTCTTACTTTTTATCTATCTTTCTCCCTTATACATAAGTCCAGCTTAGAGTTGAGTGATGATGTCCCTACACTGTTGACACTACAAGTGTTGGGTAGGCCTGTACACAAAACTACTACATATTCCTACAACAAAGTTGCTCAAACTTGAGACCTTTTAAAATGGCCTAAACAAAATCTATAAATACATATTACCTTAGGGCTCTAATTTTAACATATGAATGTTTTAGGTTTTCTAATTTAGTTTTAGTTTTATTTGTGGCTTTGCTGTAAACATTTTTATTATTATTATATATATATATTAACGCTTTATACGCCCATTAAAAGCTGTATAAATTTTATTATTATATAATATGTTTAATTTAAATAATTCTTAACTGTGTTTATAATAGTAAATCAATTTGAACAATTTTAAAATAATATATATTATTTAGAGAATATCTTCAAAATAATCGCCAATTACTTTTGGAATCATTATCTCATGCAGAAGAAGATGCTGCACAAGTCTTGCTTATTAGTACACAACTACTCTTTCAATCAATTACTTCAACTATGATAAAAATTTCAGGAAAATTTGTATCATCAATACTTGCATATTTACAAAAACACCTAAATGAAAATGACTTCAATTTACTGCAAAAATATCATGGTATGTTATTTTATAAAACATTTTTTTGTTTACATTTTCATCTTGATGTTTTTAATTTAGATCTGGTTGTTCAATCTTTAAAAACAGAAAACTATGATGATAGAGAAATTATTGAATTACAATTGAAAGAGTTAACCAGCACTGTGAAAGATTTTGTTATAAACTACAAAAAATCTAAAAGTGAACATTAGTATAATTTATTGGTGAAAAGGATGCACAGAAATAAAATCTGAATTGTTTTCAGTTATTTTATATTAAATTTGTTCATATTAGACAAGAATATATAAATCACAAGCTTAATTGTTAATTTAACAATGATGAAATAAAAGTTGTAATTATTTTATTGATTAAAGAACAATTTTAATAGACATTTAATAAAAGTAAATACAACTTATATTAATAAAACAGTTATTGATTTTAGTGTAGGAAAAATTATATTTTTTTTTAAAGAAGATATTTTGTACAAAAGTTTATTTTTCTTACTGTTATTATTTTACAAATAATTTTTCATTTCTTAAATGTTTTATCTTTTTTAATAAACCTAAATTTTGTAATTGCAATCAATAAAATAATTTATAAATTGAAGGTTTAAGGAAATCTTCATTTTTTCATTTTGTTACATAAACTAGTCTTTATTGACTTAAGTATTATCTAACATATGGAAATCTTATCTTTAATAATATGTCTATACTTTTATATATAATGCAAGTTTACCTTCGTAGATTGTCAGTAATCAGAATGGAAGATTTTTATAGATTACTATAAAAAAAAAAGTAATTTATAGCCTATTGAAACAGATTATTACTGACTACGGTATAAATAAACCAAACTAATGATAAACTTCAACTTTAAATCTAAATTTTTAAACAATTATAAAACATCAATGGCTGATCAAATAAAAAAAAAATTAAAGTTAAGTCATTTTTATCTCTCAAAGGACGAAAAACTGATATTTGACTACATAATATTGCAGTTTTTCGAGCAAAATAGTTATTCTTAAAATGTAATAAAAATAATTGATGGGTAATATAAGAATATATATTCGGTAGTAAATGAGTGATTCTTATTATATGAAAAATGTCAACTTAAATAACTTAATAAAAGTAAATATGTTTTTAAGTTTTATTGAAAAATTTTAATCACACATAAATTTCAATATATTGAAGGATTTGACCAAAAACAAATATCTGTATAAACCAACATAATCATTGAACAAAGTTTAAAGCTTAATATATAAATTTTACAAAAGTTAATAAAATTATTGGAAATAATAATTACAGTTTTAATAATAACATAATTTAATAGTAAGTTTATATACGAATATTAATAATTATCAATAATGCACATTAATATGTAATTACATACAATATTTTATATAAAACTACATATGTTAACCAATAATAATAAAAAAATGCAAATGACATCAACATTAATAGATAATTTAAAATTTGGCTATAATTATTAATTATGCTATTACTTTTAGGAAATGGGGACGATTTTTTTTAAGAAATATACAATCACACTTAATAAATAATTTATAGATATTATATTTTTACGCATCCTCTGTTTCTAACTTGATTTTAGAAAAGTCAAATTCTTCTCCAGTAGCACGTTTGTAAATATCCAATACATCTAAACAAGTTGTTTCAAAGTGGGATGTAGCATCATATGACGTAGAGATAAATACTTTGCTCTCTTTTCCATCATCAATTGGTTCATAATAATCCGATATAGAAACAAATTTCTGTTTGATAGTTCCTAACAAATCCAAACCAGGTTTAATTTCTAATTCTGGATTAGTTGTTTCTACTTTGGTTGATACCATAGCAGTAAACCATCCAGGAGCACACACTTGATGAGTATTACTGACCAATGAAACATATATATCTGATTTACGATTGACTTGGTTTTGAGGAATGATTATTTGGGTAGAAAGAGCATCTCTTGTGTTAGGTATTGGATGATTTAACAAACAAATGCATCTAATAACCTGACCAGTTTTCTTAACTCGATCACTAACATATGATGGATCACAAAATACCTGCTTACATTTAGCTATAACATCTCCACTTTTAATACCAATAACACTTGATCCTTCAAAAACAATTTCATCGACTGGTGTGTTCAACATATATGTACCACCATAAATAGCACTTAGACGTGCAAAACCCTGAGGCAATTCTCCAAGGCCATACAAAGGATATAAGTAAGGACTTTTTCCATAGCGTGCTAACGAGTCACTATATAATTTTATACGTCTTATCAATTTTGCAGCTGGTTCGTTTATGTAATCATCATTTAAATAAAGAGCCAAAGCATGTCCAGTGAAATCTTGAGTATTTTTGTCCAAGCCAAATTTTGTATACAATTGGTAAGCAGACATACGATGTGGATCTACATCTTTCCATGTTTTAGGATCATCTTCATGAAAGTCTTGCACAAAAATCAAGAAATTTCTAAACCTACGTTTTTCAAAAATACCCATGAGGTCTGTTGAAAGAGCTTCTTTCTGATCAACGGGAACTTTGTAAATTTTTCCACCTTTATAAACATAACTACCCTCAACAGATTTAAACTCAAGATAACGTGTAACACCAGTATGAATAAGAAGCTTTACAAGCAGACCATTGGCCATTAAGAATTTAGGTACTAGATCAACATTCCAATCTCGTCCACGACCATATTCTTTTTCGTCAGGCTCTTTTACATTAAACTTTTGAAATAATTCGGGTAGTGGAGTAATAGATGCTGATTCACCACCATAATATTTATTACGGTCTACATGCAATACTTTCTTACCAGAAACCGACAACATACCTGACAAAATACATTCTTTAAGTCCAGTTCCCAAAACAATACAATCATATTCCTCATCCATGATTACTTAATATGAGCACGTACAAACACCACTGTAAAATCGACTTCAAAATTATTAAATGCGAACTTTTATATTACAGTGTTGTAGACAACACTACTGTACTCCAATGATTATTAATAATCTTTAAGTCGAGCCGATTACAATATCCTCAGTTTCTCACAAAATGACGTCGACGAAAAGCCCATCATTTGAGAATATCAATAAAAAATAGTAGTGATGTATCTGTGATATAAAATGCAACTCATAGGAGTATTCATCAAGGTCACACTGTTAAATCCACAATCAACAATGTTCAACAACAATTCTCTATCACGAGTGTAGCAACTTAATGATTATTAAAATCGTTACATGATATTTATTTCTTAAGGAATAAGTAAATTCATAATTTATTTCATTAATTTTTCAGAAATTCATTGAAGTATTGTTTTAAGTTTTGTAAAAACATACGTATAAAAAGTAGAACTTTTTCAACTTAATTTTTGAAAATGTTCTGGAAATACTGCGACCTTTAAACATACGTTAAATTATAGCTTACATTATGTACTAAAAGATAAAAAAAAATTTGTCCCGACGACTTATCTTCTATGTTGCAAATGGTTGCCTGTCATAGTTAAAAAACATGCAATTTCGGTGTGAAAATTTACGATTTCAGATTTTATTTTTTCAATTTTTAATTGCTATAACTTTTCAAAAAATGTACGGATCAATACAATTATTTTTTCATAAATACTTTATGGTTACTTCTTTCATTTGATATACATTATAGAAAATCTGACTTTTGACCTGACTACAGGGGGGATTCAAAATAACAATTTTTACACACAAGTTATACTTTTTCAACTCAATTTTTGAAAATATTCCGGAAATATTGACACTTTTATTTAATTTTAAATTAAAGTTTATGTAATATACTATACTACGAAAAAAACATTTTGAGTTATAGTGAACATGGTTATCATACTCAAAAATATGTTTTTTTTGTGTGTTAAAATGTTTGATATTGTATTTTAATTTATTTTAATATACCTTATAAAAGGAGTACACTGATTTTCATGAATATTATATAAAACTAATTTACATAAAATACAAAGTGAAACTTATTTCAATTATTTTCTTCTTTTAATTCAAAAAAAATAATTTTAATATTTAAATCATCTTAAATTGCCAATTTTATCAAAAAACGAATGCGACGAATGTTTTCGGATTCAGTAAAAATTATTGCCCATGGTAATTATTATTTGCAATGTTTCCTTAATTTTATTTGCGGTAGAATTTTGCTTTTGAATAATATACCAATTTCTTAAAATTAAACACTATCGACAGATTTGCATCGAAGCGTTTCTTATGACAGTGATAAAATCACTGTGAGATAACATCTATACTAGTCCCAACTATGCCACGCTCACACTGTACTATCGTTTTTTTAATTGACCTCGTCGTGTATGTATTTTAGACAAAATCTTTTAGGATTAAAAAAAAAAAAAAAAAAAAAAAATTCACCAGTTTTGTATTAACCTATTGCTTGGTAAGTTATAACGGTTTTTTTTTATTTTAGAAAAAAGCCCGGCTTTAATAATAATTTTTATATGATTGATACAAAAAAATAAACACATAACATCAAACTTTTATAAGCTCAGTATCGGAGCTAAAAATTATTTTTATTATAAATGAAAACTATGATTTTTTAAAACATTTTTTTTTGCCTAAAGAAGACTTGCAAAAAATAGCCCGGATTTTTGAAAAAAAATCTGTTAAAAAAAACTATGCTTCAAGTAATTAGATAAAATAATGTTAAGTATATTTTCAGTTTAATAAGATTTTGTAATTATTTATTACAAAAATCATTCATAATTATTGTATCAATAGTAATTTTTACTAATTTATTTTTCGATATCAAAATTGATTCGTTTTTTAAACCACAAGTGTTTATTTTATTATTTTGTTTAATTTTATATATTACATAATACTAATAGCAATAATATCTTCACTATTTGTCACGCAAATTGTATTTTTCAGTATAAAAATAATTGCTATAAAACATAATATTGAAATATTGATACTTTTATTTAATTTTTAACGGTATTCTTAAAATATGTCAAGTTAAAGCTATTGACGACCTATCTTCTTTTGCAATTGGCTGTCGTAGTTAAAAAATGTGCTATTTTTGTGTTCAAATTTTATTTTGTTTATTTTAAAATACCTTATCAGAGTTTTCCATAATAATGAGTCCACTAATAAATATAAAATTTGCATGAACATAACTTACATTAAATATAAAATTATACATATTTTGATTATTTTGCCCCTTTAAAGTTAAGCAAATTTTTGAAAAAACTGTATAAAAAGTAGAACTTTTTGAACTTAACTTTTGAAAATCTGCGTCTTTTAAATATATGTTAAAATAAAGCTTATTTTATGTACTAGAAGTCCAGCAAAAAAAATTTGTACCTATGACCTATTTTCTATGTGCAAATAGCAGTCTAAGTAGAACAAAAAGTAGGGGTTAATTTTGCTTTTGGAATAATCCACCAATTTCTTAAAATTAAATACTATCTACAGGTTTGCACCGAAGGGTTTCTTATTATAATTATTTAAACACTGTCAAATATCATCCATACTTGTCCCAACTATGCTACGTCTACACTGTTATTTTTTTTTTGTCAGATTCTATTAGGAAGGCATAATGATACTTTTGCCGCCCCTCTAGTATTTTGATCAAGGGAGCAACTGCACCCCCTGTTACGGCACTACTGCATCACTAAATAGAGTAAATATCATGTATTTTAAGGTACATAAAATTTTTTTAAAATTAATTAACAACTTTTTTGCTTACCAAATTATTTAAAATAATATGTTATGATAAATAAAAAAATCCTTAACTCACATAAATTTGCTATTTTGTAATTTGGTATAAAAGATCATATTATTTCTGCTTATTTATAAAAAAATAAGAGAAATTAAAATGTAAAGGTAATGTATTAAAGTATATGTTAAACAATAATTTATATTAAAACATAATACACAGTTTTAAGTTATAACAATATTTAATTTACAAATGAGTAAAAAAATTAAAATAAATTAATATTTTAAATAATAAATTAATAAATATAACAATAAAACTTCAATATTTAAATAATTATGAAATAAAAAACACAAAAACATTATTATAGAAACTAAACAATATTCAATTTTGTTCAGATCTTAACAACATATCACAGCAGCTAATATGTATACTAATATACATATAATATAAATACACCTAGTAATTATTTAAAATTGTATTGTACTACATCTTATTTTTGTTTTTGAAATATTTGTCAATAATTAAAATTATATTTGAAATAAACTTAAAAATAATTTTAGTTTTAAGAAATTGTATAAAAATGAATATGTGAACTAAATAAATATAATTTTACAGAGCTAAACGACAATAAATAAAAATATCCACTCACCACACTTTTAAAAATAAATAGTTTGTTTCAAAGTATAAATAAAACATTTACGGCAACCACATTTTTAGTATGTAGAGAAAAATGATAAGAAATAGGTAGAAAATAAATAATAAAGATGAAATATAAAAAGGCCATTGTTGAAAAAATAGTTGCTAAAAAGACTAGAAGGTATTGTGAATTATTAGACATAGATATAAAAACTATTTTTTTATAACTAATTAGACTATAAAATTTTATCTTTTACACTTAGAGAGCGTTTATATAACATATTTATATAAAAATAAATATATTGGGAATGTATATTTTATTAAGGTTATTAAAACTTAGAAGATTAAAATTGAGAAAGCTGTGATGCTTTTGTATAATCTTATTACTTTTCATAAGGAAAGTATACAATTTATCGAAGTATTTTTCGGAACATATCCAGTTCATATATACTTGTTGACAACCTATTAATAAAAATGATTAATTATTGTATTACTTTTTGTTTCTCATTATAATTAGTAAAACAAAGTTAGCAAGTTGTAATATATATATATATATACCTTGCAAATGAATTAAAAAGGGCAATAATCTCACTACGCTCTAGTTTTAAGGTATGTTTATTAACAGTAAAAGAATATCCATTTGTTCGAGTTTTATTTGAAAACAATATTTTTAGTGCTGTCCCAAGTCCCTGTACTTGTAGTTTTCCCCATAATCTACATTTATCGCATCCAACACAATCCATTATTGTTGATATGTTACGAAAATGATAGCGAAACTCTTCTTTTAACTTTTGAGCTTGTTGTCCACCAGAAAACATAGATCGTTCATTGAAATGTTGTGGAAATTGTCTATAAATTAAAATTTATAATTTAATAGGTTTTTATACAATTAATAAAAAATTCATACAACTCACTTGACAATACCCAATAAATTATGAACAGCAAAACGAGTAACTTCATCTTCTTTATCATTTCCTGTATAGTATTCTACTTGTTCAAGCACAGGAGCTGCTTTTTGCAATGCTCTAAGTTCTACCAGAAATAAAAAGTACAAGTTTCTTAACCATTGTGTACCTTCCCCTTTAGTATATTGTGGTCCAAATTTGCGTTCAAACTCTTCAATGTTTGGACCCCAAGTACCAGTGCCACATGGGTTTAAAAATGTAGTTCCTTTATCTAAACATAATAAAAATTGTAGAAGTGAAATAAGGTAAAGTATTACGATTAATATTACCAGATAATAAATATTTAGCACTAAGATGTATATTGATGCTAGAATGAAGTCCAGATATTGCACGATAAAAAGCTCTTTTCTCCAAACACATTCCTGTATTAAATAATTATTTATAAGTTTTAATAAAAAAACAAAATAAGGTGATGAATTTTAGAAGAAATAACCATATTCCTTTTACCACCAATTCAACTGGTACAATTTTCTTTTTTTAATTTTAACCTAACACAATTCACATGTTTATTTATTTATCATAATATTTAATATTATAATAAATGAATATAATTAATATTTTTTTTATTTATTAAAATAAAAATAGCTAAGAAAAAAATTGAAAAAATTATTCCTTATAAATTTCCTTCTACTTTAAATTTAACTTTGTTAACAATTCTCTTAAAGAAGAGCAATGTTCAATTTTCATAACTATTCAGTAATAAAAAAATTCTTAAGATTATTTTTTCTAATCTAAATTTATATTAATCTATATTTTAAGTAGATTAATTTTCAATTTAAAACCACAATTTATATAAAGATAACTTTTAGAATACCATATTCTTAATTTAAATACTACAAAAAATCAAATGAATTACTTGATTATTTGTGTTAGTAAATTAATAACAATTTTAAAAATGTATTTTTATGTTATTAAAATAAAAAATAATTTTATCTTACCAGTTAACAATGTAGATTTAATTGAAACTTCAAACAAGTTTTTTGGTCTGAAAACATGCATAACTTTTTATAAATTTATGTTAAAAAATTGTTTAGTGTATTTCAAGAGTGATAAGTAGTGTAGTCAAAGGAAGGTCTAAAGGGGCTATAGTCTCTTTTATTTCAAATTTAAATTTAACATGATAGCAACACATATAAGTTCCAGAATTTTACAATCTAAAATTTGCTACATATTCTTAAAGAAAAAATGTATAATTTATAATTATCCCTTTTGTTTATATTTACTCCACTTCATCCTATGCTTGTGAAACTTGATTAACAGCAGTTAAAATATAGGGTGTTTTTTTTTTTAAATATATAAGCCATTTCAATATTTATATTGCAATTAAACAAAATTAATATAATACATTATGGATCAACCTAAAAATTAATCAATGACTGATAAATCAAGAAATACTAACTAAAAAGGCCAGAAATAATATGTTCTATATTGTATTTTATTTAGAAGAAAACGTGTAGTTAACGTTGAAAGAATAATCTTGTATTTAAAATACTTATGATAATTTTAGTATGAAATATATTAAAAAGTGTGAATACAAATAAAGGTTATATATTTTTTTATCAATTTAATATTAATAAAAAAATGTCAAACCTAAAACAGTTTTCCATGTAAATAGTTTTCCAAACTCGATTGGCAGATGGTCCTTTGTATCCAGTATATCGTTCAGGATTTAATGATAAATCAACATATTCAGCATCACCATCATCTTCTGGTAAAGTACAATACATTTCTTGTAAATCATCATGAGCTTGCCAAAGAGCAAAATCTTCCATTGCTGCAGCACTAAAAAAAAAATTATAATAATACATAAGTATTTCTGACAAATCCAAAAATTCTGTGACAAACCAGACTAGATGATTTTTCCTTACTAAGTTAAACAAGGTAACTCCAATTCATAAAATAAATTTTTACTTAGTTAAATAAAATTATTTTTATGATATTGAATTTTTTTCTTATATCAAAATTCCCCTTTAAAAACTAAAAAAAACCTTTTATTTTTTTATTTTAGTTCAATGTTTTTCTTAATTTATCAATTATGAAGTATTTTTTAAATTTAACTCTTATACCTTACATTTTAAGGGTGTAAACTTTAATTTCTCAAATGTCTATACACATAATTCACTAGATTATTTAATAGATAAAAATCTAAATAAACAATGACTAGTTGATAACAACTAATAGAGAAGTATTTCTGAAGTTATTGACATGTTTATACCTAGACAAGAGAAAGAGTATTTGTCTTTGGATGAGTAAAGCCAGGAAATGTTTAGTTATAAAAATAGCAGCATCTACTCTTCACCACTAATCATTAATTTAATATTTCATAACTTCTGAAATAGTTTTTCTACTATTTTAACAATAACTACTGAAGTGGTTATTGTTATTGACCAGTTATTTTCTTAATAGATTATAATATATTAAAATAATATAGTTAATTATGTATGCTGTCAATTGAAATATTTAAGTTTTACCTTTATAGGGTATAATAATAAAAAAATTATTATAATTATTTTTGATTAATTAAGTGGTTCATGATAATTGAATAATCTTGTATTAACTATTGGTTATTGGTATCACAAATAATGAGGGTTGTAATTACAGTGGTTTTAGGAAAAAGTATTATTGATATTATTATGAGATTATGTTATAGACTTCCTAAAAAAAATTAGAAGACTAAGATCCTTTAGAAGGGTATTAACAAATTTCTTAACAAAACCTCTTATTCTTTAAAGATAAAATTCTCAGAACACTTTAACAATTAGAAATACAAAATTCCTACTCTTTACAACATTATATTAATATTTTAATATGATTTTGATTTATATGATATTTTTATTCTCTTTAAAATAATAATTGTTGATAATTTTCAGAGAAAAAGCTGATGTTTTTAACTTACTAATTTCTCAGCTTTCCACCAAGGCTGAAAAAAAGATCTCACAACTTATAAATCATCCTAGATAATATACATATATAATAAATATAATATGGATATTATAATTATTATTAAAAATTATCATATTTATTAATCGAGTAAAACAATAGAAATATAATTTGAACTTTTTATAAAAATACTAAATTAGTCTCAATTATTCAAATTATAATTATTTAGGTTATTATAATAATAAAATATATTATTTTCTTTCAGTTAATATTTACTGTAATTTTTTTACCTGATTGTTGTGTTAATATATCCTAATTCATATTGTGTAGCTTCTTCACATTCTTGTTGTTGGGGTCCTACCATATACTACTCAAATAAACATGATTTAATATTTTATTAAATAAAAAAAATGATACTATAATATATATAAAAAAATAAAGGAATAAAGGAGAAACATAGGAACAAGCAGATTTATTACGTATGAAGAATTAAAAGTGAAGTATGACTGAAACCATAACAAATGACCATAACAACAGCAACACTAGGAAAAAGGAAAACATAAAAAGAAACATTGATTTATATGAAAGAATAATATAAAAATAATTTAAGATTAATAAATTAATATTATACATACTTTAATCGACATGTCTACATCTACTAAACTATTACGAATACTTTTGAGACCTATGGGTAAGTCATCCTAAAATGAAATTTTATCAAAGTTTTAAAATGTTCTACAAGGTACACATTAATTAATATTTACCAAATGACATGATTCCACTTGACAGTATCTCATTGCACACTTGCTATCGTCAGACCAAAACGGACATTTTCTCCTAAGGTTTACCTAAAAAATAAATATTTTTGAAAATAGAATATTGAATAATTATTTAAATATATAATAAATAACAATAAACATATTTTTGTAGGACATTAATATATTACAAAAATTAATATAACTATAAAAAATAAATCTATTAAAAATTGTTTTATTTAATTTAATGGTTATAAAACTTTATTTTACCTTAAAAAATTTAAAATAATCCTTGGACACAATGCTGATAATTCGAGGATAAATATGATAATTATTTAATTTATCAACTGTTTCTACAGTAGTATTTGTCTCATCAATTTCGCCACAGAGCTGAAACAGAGATTTTAATTTTTAATAAAGATTTTTGTTTCATACTAAAATTTAAAACAATATTGTTGATAATTTTAGTTATACATATTTGTTTCTTATTATAAGAATCTCTAAAATAGACGACAAAGGTATTATAATATTTTATAGTAAAACTGATTTCTGAATTCTTTATAATAATAAATTTATTATAATGTACTATACAGAGAGTTCAATATATAAGGAAACTGGTCAATTGTTATAAACCATAAAAACAATAGAAACCCGTTTCCTTATTCGATATTAAATTTTTGTTGATTTCTTTTTTTGTTAATTTATAATGCGGCAAATTTTATGGACTAGAGACTACAAATTTCAAAATTCTAGTTACACTTGTGATAGAGACATACTAAAATATATTTTATCTGAGAAAATGATTTTTCTCAGATAAAATGATCTATTTTTTTTTATTATCAAAAACTAAAATTTTGTATTATTACACGAGGCAAGTAGGTTCTATGGTAAAATGAGATATCTAGTTGAAGACATAACACTCAAAAATTAAAAAAATTTCCCTCGTTCCCAATAAAAGGTAAAAATCCCACCAAAAATTACAACTTTTAAAATCGGTAAATTTCGAAATGTTTTGTAAAAACATACGTATAAAAAGTAGAACTTTTTCAACTTAATTTTTGAAAATGTTCTGGAAATACTGCGACCTTTAAACATACGTTAAATTATAGCTTACATTATGTACTAAAAGATAAAAAAAAATTTGTCCCGACGACTTATCTTCTATGTTGCAAATGGTTGCCTGTCATAGTTAAAAAACATGCAATTTCGGTGTGAAAATTTACGATTTCAGATTTTATTTTTTCAATTTTTAATTGCTATAACTTTTCAAAAAATGTACGGATCAATACAATTATTTTTTCATAAATACTTTATGGTTACTTCTTTCATTTGATATACATTATAGAAAATCTGACTTTTGACCTGACTACAGGGGGGATTCAAAATAACAATTTTTACACACAAGTTATACTTTTTCAACTCAATTTTTGAAAATATTCCGGAAATATTGACACTTTTATTTAATTTTAAATTAAAGTTTATGTAATATACTATACTACGAAAAAAACATTTTGAGTTATAGTGAACATGGTTATCATACTCAAAAATATGTTTTTTTTGTGTGTTAAAATGTTTGATATTGTATTTTAATTTATTTTAATATACCTTATAAAAGGAGTACACTGATTTTCATGAATATTATATAAAACTAATTTACATAAAATACAAAGTGAAACTTATTTCAATTATTTTCTTCTTTTAATTCAAAAAAAATAATTTTAATATTTAAATCATCTTAAATTGCCAATTTTATCAAAAAACGAATGCGACGAATGTTTTCGGATTCAGTAAAAATTATTGCCCATGGTAATTATTATTTGCAATGTTTCCTTAATTTTATTTGCGGTAGAATTTTGCTTTTGAATAATATACCAATTTCTTAAAATTAAACACTATCGACAGATTTGCATCGAAGCGTTTCTTATGACAGTGATAAAATCACTGTGAGATAACATCTATACTAGTCCCAACTATGCCACGCTCACACTGTACTATCGTTTTTTTAATTGACCTCGTCGTGTATGTATTTTAGACAAAATCTTTTAGGATTTAAAAAAAAAAAAAAAAAAAAAAATTCACCAGTTTTGTATTAACCTATTGCTTGGTAAGTTATAACGGTTTTTTTTTATTTTAGAAAAAAGCCCGGCTTTAATAATAATTTTTATATGATTGATACAAAAAAATAAACACATAACATCAAACTTTTATAAGCTCAGTATCGGAGCTAAAAATTATTTTTATTATAAATGAAAACTATGATTTTTTAAAACATTTTTTTTTGCCTAAAGAAGACTTGCAAAAAATAGCCCGGATTTTTGAAAAAAAATCTGTTAAAAAAAACTATGCTTCAAGTAATTAGATAAAATAATGTTAAGTATATTTTCAGTTTAATAAGATTTTGTAATTATTTATTACAAAAATCATTCATAATTATTGTATCAATAGTAATTTTTACTAATTTATTTTTCGATATCAAAATTGATTCGTTTTTTAAACCACAAGTGTTTATTTTATTATTTTGTTTAATTTTATATATTACATAATACTAATAGCAATAATATCTTCACTATTTGTCACGCAAATTGTATTTTTCAGTATAAAAATAATTGCTATAAAACAAATTATTTGTTTGTTAGAATTATAACAGATATTGTAATTATCAATTACATACGTTTTTCATTCTTCTTTTGTCAAAATTTTACAAATAAAAGTCATTAGTGATTATCTTTATTTTTTGGTATGTCAGCGCATCTGAGTAAGACTAATTAGTAATTTACAGTACACAATAATAAAATTTAACAAATATGTGAAAATAATATATACATAATTGTTTATACGTCTGCTACAGACAGTTATTATAAATACTAATAGATTTATTTCTTTAATAAGAATTCCATTTTAGCTTCGATGCGAAACGGAGAAGATATTAATTTTACTATGATGTGTTTTTTTTTTTTTTTTTT